TAGGTCGTCGGCATACATTAAAACTTTAATATGCTCGATATTAGCGACTATATCATTTATAAAAATTATAAATAAAAGAGGACCTAAAATTGATCCCTGTGGAACTCCTGATGTTTGTTCGAAATTTTTTGACCTATAACCACGACATTGAACATATTGATGCCTACCCAACAAATACGAACCAATCAATTGAATGATTTGATCGCATAAACCAATGGAACTTAACTTGTGGAGCAAGATGGAATGATCAATTTTGTCGAAGGCCTTGGAGAAATCTGTGTATATTACATCAACTTGACTTCTTCTATCCAAGGCTTCCGAAATGAATTGCGTCGAACATACAAGGTTTGTAACTGTAGATCTATTTTTCATGAATCCATGTTGATCACAAGATATAAGACGGGAAACATGATTGGAAATACGATCGTGAGTAATTATTTCGAATACTTTAGCAAAATTGCAAAGAATGCTTATGGGCCGATAATTACAAACATTATTTTTGCTACCTTTTTTATGTACCGGATAGCCCGATAGCCCGGCTAGCCCGATAGTCCCAGCTACTTCATATATTTTTTTAATATTGGATTTGTATGTTTTTTTTTAATAAATTTATTCTTTTTGATTATGTTAATTATTCAAATATTGATTAAACCTAAAAACCTACAAGTCAAGTTAATATTGGTTTACGTAACTAATTTTGTGCTTTAGTATAGCAAATATCGATAAAATAACGTAAAAACAGAGTTTGTGTGAACAAACCTTAGTTTACTGTAGAGGAAAAATACAAAATATCTTAAAAGTACTTTTTCAGTACTAAATTGTTAATAATCTGTGTCGAACTGTGTCGAAGGTCTTCGAAAAAATATTGGAGACACGACTAAATTCATATATAGATAAATTTAAAATTATTTCAAAACACCAATATGGCTTTAGAAATAACGTATCTACTGAAGACGCAATACTTATGCTTACTAAAAAAATAAATGAATCAATGAATGAAGGCCAACCTTGCCTAACTGTTTTCCTGGATTTGTCGAAGGCATTCGACACAGTAAGCCACTCAAAACTTCTAATGACTCTAGAAGATATTGGGATCAGGGGTAATGCACATCAACTTTTTGACAGTTATTTAAAACACTACGTTAAAATGGGAAATATATGTAGCACATGTTCATCAATCTGCTGTGGCATCCCCCAGGGTAGTATACTTGGGCCAACACTATTTAACATATATGTTAATGGTTTGTTTGAAGTCTACCCTGAGTCAGAAGTAATTGGTTTCGCTGATGATACGGCATTGTTCTTCAAAGATAAAACCTGGATAGATTTAAAAAACAAAGTCGAATCAGAACTGCCCAAAATACAGAATTGGTTTAACCACAGTCTACTAACCCTAAATCTAGAAAAAACTTTTTATGTTGCATTTCATTGTAACAAAGTTACAACTCCACCATTCAATGAACTAAATGTAAAAGTATCTAACCAAAATATTTCTATTAAAAGTAAAGAACATGTAAAATACCTCGGCATTTACCTTGATAAACACCTAAAATGGAACGTACATATAAATTACGTGTGTAAAAAACTGAGATTTGTAATTAGTAGATTTAAATGTTTGATATATTAGATTTAAATCAATTAAAAATTCTTTATCATGCTCTAGTTGAGAGTCCTATCAGCTATTGTATCAGTATTTGGGGTAGTGCTCTAAAAACACATATCCGTCCTCTTGAAATAATTCAACGCAGATTCTTAAAAATAATTCTTAAAAAACCCATATTGTACTCGACCAATAATCTGTTTCTTGAAGCAAATATACTAGATATTCGTCAACTGTTTTACATAAAAATAACAACTTTAGCGAGTCAACGCACAATTATTCTACTCGCTCCATGCAAAGGCAAAATCATAACGTACCTTTCAAATAAAAGTCTATTGGCCAGAGATCGTTCTCTTATTTGGCTCCTAAACTCTTTAATTATAGTCCATGTGAAATTAAATCCATTAATAAAACTCACCTATTTAAGAAATCGTTAAAAAAATTTATTCTCTCGCTAGAACGTCATGTAATCACTAATTTAATAGAAAATATTTAGTGCCAGACACTTTAACATTAGGTTTAAATATTCGTTTCCAGTGTATAGCAAAAATATACCTAGTATTCATGTATTGTATATTATGTGAAAGTATCATGTAATTTATGTAATGTAACTTATTTAGTTATATGTAGTTTGTTTAGTTTATGTCGAAACAAGCAATGCTTATCGACTATTTAACATTTTATTCAATTGTGGCTTTTTTGTAACTTTTTTGTAACTTTTACTGAATAAATGTTATTATTATTATTATTATCTTGTGTGCTTCTAAAGCACTTTTCCAGCATTTGCAAGTGATGGGGAATTGTATGCCTGAAAATCGTCGACCAACTGGACGTGGCGACGCCTGCAGTCATAGGCGCCGGAATTCAAACATCGCTTTGGGTGCCCGGCTTCTATGCGGAAAATGGGGGCTATCCCTCCCCCACCCTCCACACCCCACTTAAAGGCACCACCGGTTTTTTAAAAAACTATTTTAAAGTTGATTTTATGAAAATTTTCTAGAAAAAAAAGGTATTGTCAACTGGCAATTGCTGGATAGGCTGGAGGCTCCCACCTAAAACAAGATACCTGGCAATCCTATATGCTCGGTGCAGCCATCATTGGTATTTTGAAGATATTGTTACATAGATTATAACACCCAAGTTTTAAATCGCTACTGTCTTCCTAGCCATGATCTTTTAACGATTTTTATTTTCTGTAAAAGCCAACTAGTTACTCGAGTAAATGCTAGAAATGCTGACCCTGGGCCTCCATGCAAGTTTTGTTCAAAATGCTCTCGGACATTTTGAAGCATCTATGGGGTGATTTGATGACATTCATCAATTATCCGTTGTCGCACATTTTCCAGTGATGTTGGCTGGGTAGCATAAATTTTAGTTTTCAAGTGGCCCCATAAAAAATCCAACGGGCTTAGATCCGGAGACTGTGGGGGCCACTCAATTCTTCCTCTTCTTCCCATCCTGGAAACCTGGAAACGTTTTATCCAAATACTGACGAATAGTGGCGCACCGTCATGGTGGAATATTAAGTTGTTTACTATGTACTGATCGTCATTTTCAATCAACTCTAGTAATGCTGAATAAATAGCGTTTTCTAATAATTCCAGATACATTTCTGCGGTTAAAGTTTCTGGTAAAAAAGGAACTCATTATACGGTTACCAAAAATGCCAGCCCAAACATTTAGTTTTTCCGGATGTTGCGTATGCATTTCATGAAATATTCTGGGATTTGAATCTGATCAATAACGACAGTTGTGATGATTTACCGTACCATTTAGGAAAAAAGTGCATTGTTTGAATAACACACGTTGAAAAGAAATTGTTAATCATTTAATACTCGTTCAGTAATAATTTCACAAAATTGTAATCGCCTATCAAAATCGTCTTCATTAAGTTCTTTTACCAGATGTATTTTGTAGGAATGAAACTTGTGTTTTTTCAATATCTTCTGAATACTACGTCTCTTAATACCAGATGTTATCGCCAACTGTCTTGTACTCAGTATGGGTTCTTGAACAACATGTCCTAAAATCGCCACCTCTGTAGCTTCATTTACTACAGAATTTTCCATTTCACGTTATTAGTTAGCTACTGATCTCGTTTTCCAAAATGTTTGGACTAACTCCAAAATGTAGTTTCGATGGACTTGTCGATTTTGATGTTGACAGTTAGGCAGTTCTATTAGCACATTCATTGTTCACAAAAAAAGTGAAATTATTTGCACCCTCTCAGCAATGGAGTAAACCATTATCACTGATATGCCACTTTTATGTCGACTCTACAACGAAATAAACTAAAAAGTAAAATTGTTATCAAGAATTCTTTTTTTTTAATAACAATGTAAAAATTATGTTAAACCGGTTTTGTACTTTTGGTGAGCCACTGTATGGGCTATATAGATAGTAGCGTTGTAAAACTCTGAAGTTATTATCTATGTAAAAATACCTTCAAAATAACATATCATTCGACCAATCTTTCCATTTAAGATTTAACTGGTGAGTCTCACCCCCGATAGAGGGTTTCGCTTAGGGGATGAAAATGCCAAAAACAAAATTGATGGGTCCAAGCGTTTTTTAGTAGATGGTCTGGTTTCTCGCCAGCAATACTAGAGAGCTGTTTCTAACTCTAAATTAACGTTTTTTTCTAACGGTGCTTGATCGGGAGCAACTTTCAAATGTTCTCCCTTTTCCCCTTAAGCATTTGCTCAATGGCATATGTACAAAGATCTTATCTTGATAATTGTAGACCGTTATTAATCTTTCTTTTTTGATATCATAGGGTAGGGTTTTATACACCAAAAATAATAAACCCTTAAGTTCAACGGCGACTTTTTTATCACAAAAAATACAGCTCCGAACGATATTTTATTCAGGCATCTGTCGCTATAGCAACTTGGGCCACGACAGCTTAATTTCACTTATTGACACTTTTTGTTCTCGTTGTGCTGGGCCCCGGGGATTCGGCGTCTATGCCTGCAGTGTGGTCTGGCACAATTGCTGTGCCGACATTTTAAGTACTGTTCACATGTATTGTACCAGTGTTGGGCCATTAATGTGTGTTTGTTGAAATCCTGCAAGAAAAATACCTGAACTTAAACAAAAGCTTCAAGATATATGGGATTCGTTTACACCAGAATTTTGCCAAGGCTTAGTTAATACCATGGTACAAAGAATTTCCCCCCGCTTCCTGCGGTTTGCGAAGGATTGGTTCCTCGGATTTGGTTCATCGTACAAGATCTGATCCGACAAATGTTTTGTCGGCATACACATCTTCGAGTAACAGATTCACCAGAGAAATCCACTGGTTTATGGGTGCCGTTTCATTAATTCCTAATATTTGCTTAATAGTACATTCATTTATTGTTGTTGATTAAATATAAATAAAAAACAAAAAAATGCAAAGTTCAAAATAAAACAGTATATTTTTTAAATAACTGATTGTATAATTACAGGTTACTATCAAATTGTAACTAATGTTGTATAATTTTTAAATTCTTACCTAAAGATATACTCTATAAAAACTTAAAATTAACAAAAAACAGTTCGCTATATGAGCGCAGTATTCATGTGCATTGTTGATTAATAATTATGTGAGGAAGAAAATGTTTGACACAAGAAAAAATTAAATCACTTATTGAATTTTTTATTGCACAGCTATAGGCTCTGGGACAGGTTCATTCTCTTCAGCCCAGTTTGACCACTGCTGATTGTTGTCGAATTCATCTTCTAACTTATTATTAATGTAATTGTCAGTTTGTATCCTGATGTATGGAGGTATCTACAAAAAACATCCAAGATTATACATTTATACATTTATAAATAGAGAGTTAGGGAATACTAATAAATCAATTATTTTTAAAATTTTTGAATTTATAGCAAAGAATACCAACTCCAATGTGACCAAGAAATAAAATAAAATTGAAAATAAAATATAGAATCCTCTGGATATAACTGAATACCTATTTCGGTATTAACCAAAGGAATAGTTGTTTTCCGAATGAGAAGTTGTTTTGTGCGAACCTAGATGTCTATATTTGTCGTTTAACTTTTTGCATGTGTGTTCTTTAGTTTACAAAATTTTGACGAATAAGTTAAAACGTTTCTTTAAATCAATTATTCGAATACATTTGTTCTTTTTATATTATTTATAGTGTCCCAATGATGGCTTATTAGCCAAAAAAGCTTTACAAATATAAAAAACATTTACACTTTAAAGTACCTTGGTTCCTTTAATTTCTATAATTAACCCTAACAGAGAAAATAGTGTGATTCAAGTTGTATGAGATATCTCCCTTTTGGACTGTATCTAGAATTAAACCTCCAAATAGGTTTAATATTTTGATTTTTTAATGATAGCCAAATTCCATGTGACAATACATTTTTTTTTTACAATAACAATAATCTATTACTAAGATACAAAAAAAATTGAATACAGGGTGTGAATACAGTACACAAGTACTTGCTATTTAGATTTGGTTTAGGAGGATTTAATTTTGGTTGTATTTACTAAGCTTGGTAGTTGATTTGTTTCTTATAAGAAATAGCTCTAAATTTATGTATTAAGTTGTTTAAGCGTATAAAATTAAAATCCAACTTATATTTTTATATTTTACAAAAATAACAAACTCAAATATGTATCTACCATAATATAACAGTTTCCTTGTTGTGATCTTTGTAAGTTATCACATGGAAAATTGCTTCTAATAAATACGGTGTCGGCCACTGAATGTCTTTCAATAAGCGATAAAACAACAGCGAGTGAAAGCTACAGATTGTTGGCATTGGAGCGAGCGGAAAAAGAATAGTGTCAGTGGTGCCATTTAAATAAACCGACCGCACTAAATCGTTGGCCAGGCGGTGTAAGCTGGCATCCCTGGTATTGTACTTTTCTTGCTTGCCCCAGAGCTGGTTCTACGCTGTTTTCACACGCACCTGTGCCAAGGGATATTGGAATATGTTTGTATATATATGAAGGTGTTTAGTTAGTTACACTGAAGATGGGACATTAAGGGTTAATTTCTGAAGCATCCAGCGTTATAATTTGTGAAGCATCCAACACTTATGTTACAGAAATGTGATCTTTTTTTGGCATATCCTTAAATCAACAAAAATGTTGACTAAATACCAAACAAAAAAAAAACAAATTTGTGTTTGTGTCAGGAAAGAGCTGTTTAAAGAAGCATAAATATCAAAAAATAATAATACCTGAAATCTAAGTCATGTATATTATACCTAAAAATTTATGGTGGCACGGCTAAAAAAATACAAAACAAATCTTTAATTATAAAAGCAATTTAAAAACTAATTTTTAAGTTTGGTACCCACAACAAAGAGAGATTTACTCATAGAGAGGTAAATTGAAAGGATATATTATATAGGCTGTCCAGAACACGTGACCATGGCCCTTTAAAAATGTCCACATGTAGACACACATACATACGATTTACGTTAAAGAATATACAGGGTCTAAAATAGGTCAATTAAACTGTACTTACCTATATGTATATAAAAATGCACCCAAAAATAGTGTATAAGATAAAAATTTAAATGAATTTTTTTAACGTTGCTCTTAAACCGTTTGACATTTTTTCATGAAATTTTATATGACGTATTGGAATACCATGACTAACAAAATCGAGGTAGAGGCAATATATTATTTTTATTTTTGTAGAATTTTGGAGGGTGTCACCGCCCCTTTCTCTGCTCAACTTTTTTGTAATATAAAATTTTATCTATTTGGAAACTTTTTTGTCTCTTAGTATTTGTTTGTAAAATGTTTGGTTTAGACGATACAGCCACTTAAAATGACATCTTAAAAATATTCAATGTAAATTATACGTATGCAAAAATTTCAAAATTCGATTTTCATTGTTAAAACTATGTAGTAAGTGTATACAGGAGGAGAATGTAATTTTGAACACCTGTTAAATAATTTTTTTTTATTTTTCCATTGAATATTTTTAAGAGCAATCCAGTCCCTTCTGACGTCACACCGTACGAATCTCACGACCTCCCTTTAAAGTATTTGGAACCTTGTTCGCTACATAAATTTGGCAATGTTGTGTGTCGTACCCTGAAGGGTCCGATTACAATTCAGGTATAATTCGTTGGCTATCGCCGCCTATTGGGGGTTAGTGGCTTGTTAATATACGAATGTAGGAATACTATTTTTAAACCAAACATCTCAAATATTTTTTATTTATTGATAGTTATAGATGATATACAGGGTGTCCCGAAATTAGACGGTCATATTTTAACAGCGTAATCTACATCCTAAAATAGTAGTAAAAGTTCATATAAACATAGGTCCGAAAACGTTTCTTTTCCGAGATACAGGGTGTTAAAGGTGAAGTCCTGATACCACACTTTTGTAAATATTTTCTAAACGTTTAAAGATAATAGGTAAAATTTGTTACAAATACTTACCTTTTTACGCTTCATTTATTGGACTAAACCCCAGTTATTGATCATCTTCTTAGGTGGGTAAATTAGGGGGAGCTTAGGGTAAAATTGCCGTGTGTGTCTATATCCACCATAACTCATGAACCGATACACAGAAAAACACTAAATTTTAAAGTTTTATTTCGGCCTGACGTGAAATAATTAGATTTTGGACAAAGTCGGAACATCTGGGGGGTACTTTATGCGAGGCCGTTTTTATATTTTATTGAATATATCTGTTATTTATGTTTGGAGAAGAAAATTATTCAAATAAAAGTTACTTCTAATATTATTATCTATAATTTTTGCTTTATGTCAAAATTTCCTGAAATGGTCCGTATTCGAAAAATTTGACAAAATGTTGTTTGCGATATCGATCTCTATAATTTTTGTTTATACATGATTTTTCTAAAATGGACCGTAATGGAAAAATTGTAGGAAAATTGCTAAATTTAAATTTTTCAGTATTTTCGTTTTCAATGAATAACTATAGAAAAATGTTTCGAGGTAGATAGATGTATGTGGAAAATGTATATATTTAGTTTATCCTCTAAACATTTATAGAGGTACTGCAATAAGTTGTACAAAATAACCAGAAAAAGCCTATAATAACTAGATAGGAAAGTCATGTGTTGGACACATCAGATTTTTTGACTATAAAATTTGTAAAACCAATATTTTCTGTATAATAAAGCTATAATAAAGCTACATTTGTTGCATCTCGCTAGGACGCGCCATTTTCAAGAGAAAAGCATGTTACCTTATTCGAAAGTGTAAACAATAATTAGTAGGTCTGTAGAATTAGAAATTTTATTTTTTTTAACTTTGAAAAACCGGTAATTAAAGAAATTTTAGAAAATATTTCATCTGGACTTCACTTGTAACTCGAAACGTTTTCGGACCTATGTTTATATAAACTTTTACTCCTATTTTTAACCGACTTCATAAAAGGAGAAGGGAGGTTCTCAATTCGTCGCAATATTTTTTTTAATTTTTTTTATTTTTTTTTATTTTTTTTTTATGTATGTTCAGCGATAATTCTTTAAGACGGTGTCTGATTTTATTGATTCTTTTTTTGTTAGAAAGGGGGTACTTCAGGGGTGGTCCCATATAAATTTGGTCAAAATCTAATAATTGGGTCCATGACAAAATCTTCAAACTCTTCATTTTTTATGTATGTTTAGCAATAATGCTTTACCACCTTGTCCGATTCATATGATTCTGTTTTTGTTAGTAAGGGGGTACCTCAGGGATGGTTCCATATAAATTTGGTTAAGATGTGATGACGGCATCTGCACATTTTTGAAGTCGGTTTTTTTTTTAATTTTTAATTTCTAATACTTGTTTTTTTATTTATTATAGATACAAACTAGCTACAGCATTGAATATTTTATAAATAATTATCATATACATAAATAATTGGATAATTGCAAATAAGTAAAGTTCTTTTTAGCTAAATGATTTTAGATTTTAGTTATATTTAAATTAATAAAATCTTAAAATATTTATCCTTGTTTAGTTAATATCCATTATTGCAATTTAGATCTATGAAGACCTATCGAATTTAGGTTTTTAAATTCCACCGGAAGTGCGTTAAATATTTTAGGACCGAGGTATAAAACAGTATTAGTTTCGAAAGCAAATATAATTATTATCACAGTATAACACTGATTCGTGATTCGTATCCGTGATCCGAAAAAAAGGATTCGAATCACTTGATTCGAATCCTTTTTTTTTTTAAAAGGATTCGAACATTGGATCCGTGATTCGAATCACATCTCGTGATTCGGATTCGTGATTCGAATCCATTTTTTCAAGTATTCGTTCCAGCTCTGGGTGACGGCATCTGCACGTTTTTGAATTCGGTTTTTTTTTTATTTTTAATTTCTAATACTTGTAGGATGTAGATTACGCTGTTAAAATATGACCGTCTAATTTCGGGACACCCTGTATATTGGAAATTCGAAATAATAGTTATGACGTAGCGGTGTTTTTCTAATTGTAATCGGACCCTAGGTATATGGATACGGAAAGTGATGAAATGGAGATAGGTAAATTGTATTTATTGTAAGGAACAACAAATATAAGTACAATTAAATAAGTATATTAATATAACAATTTTTTAAAATCTGTATTAAAAAAATTTTTTTTCACATAGAATATTAAATTAAAAAAATAACTATTAAAACACGAAATGTTAATTTTTTCTCTTTTACAACACAAAATATACAATACTGTTGAATCAAAATTTTCTCTTGGCAGCAGGTGGTTTTTGTGACGCGACAATTATGATGCTTTGCATCTCATGAATTAAAGTTAATTCTCTTTCAATCTTAAGGTGTTCATACCCCTTATAATTATCGGACAAGAATATCTCAAAATATTTAAATTTTGGCAAAATAAATTAGGCAATAATATCTATAATATGCATATATTTTAATGTTTTAATTCCTTCCAGTTTCCCAAAAAAAACTAAAAAGGCTTTAATTTTGAAAAATAATAAATATAAATGCATTCCTCGACAGCACTATTGTTAATATAATCCCCAAATTTAAGCCTCTAATGTCTTGTTAATGATTTCTTAAAATTCGCCAAAATTAGTGGCTAAAACGCTTCGTTAAGTGCTATTTTCTGGTGTTAACTGGTGTAAATTATTGCAAGAAACGAATAATGACAGAGTGTACGATACGATAGTTACAAGCCCGTTACACTGTTTTCCACTCAATTTATTAAAAAAAAATAATAATAAATTAGGGTGTTAATTTTTTTCTCTGAAGCTATTGGTTTTGGGAAAAAAATTCAAGAATAAAAAAAATTTAAATAAATCAAGGATTTCATAAAAGTTCATCTCGAAAAAAAGTTTTGATATGAAATAAAGTAAGTGTTGCTAATTTCACGCCCCTATAATGTAACAGAAATATTGAAAAAATACCCTTGGTTAGTCCTTTGCGATTACAGAATTTCAAGTTTCTAGCTTTACTGAAATTTTAGAAAAAAAATAAAAACTCAATTTTAGTCACCACTTTTTAAGGGTGATATCTCGAAAAGGATTGGGCTGAGGAAATTTTGTTATAGAAAAGACCCATCTTAATTTCATACGAGCACTCAGTTCCTGAATTTTGTCGCATGTATTTAGAAACACCCTGTATATTACACATTTTTTTAGCGTGCAAAATTCTTGACAATCTCTTTTCCCTAATTGGCACATGTCGTATTTTTCTAGGATTTATTAACTCTGGCAGCAAACAAATAAAATAGAAATTTGTCAGCTGTGCATTTTTGCCTTTCAGAATTTTTCATTTCATAAATTAACTAAAAACTAAATTAAACAAAAACCTAACAACGCCTCAACAACAAACTAAGACGATCACAATAATTTCGCACCTCTTTAAAAACAACTACCTATTTTTCGACACAGGAATTAACAAATTTAACTAAACGGCAGCTACCCTTTTAACCACGGGCTTCAAAGACTAGCAGCGTTGCCATATTCACTGGTATCATTGTTTTAATAGAATTAGTATCGGAATGAAAACTATGTTAATCTTCGGTCCTGTTTAAAATTGGTAATCTTTTTGAAAAAAAGAGCCAAAAAATTAAATTTATTAAAAAGTTGAAATTTTTGTTGTTTTTCTTTAAAAATATAAGTTTTTCGCGGTTTAGCGAAATTCTTGGTTCATTTTTACAACGATTGGCCTGAACCATTTTTTTTTACAATTTTTTTTAACTGCCTCAAATGTAAAATTGATTTTTGGTGGAGGAGCGCCCGTCATGTTTGCTCTTAAGTTGTCATTTCAAATGGCTGTATCGTCTGAACTAAACTTTTTACAAACAAATAATAAGAGACAAAAAAGTGTCTAAATGGATGTTGCATTCCAGTGGCATTTCATTTGAAATTAAATGTTATACTACAAAAAAGTTGAGTGGAGAAAAGAGCGGTGACCCCCTCTAAAAACCTATAAAAATCAAGTAAAAAATATTGCCTTTTTCTCGGTATTATTAGTCATGGTATTCTAACATGTCATATAAAATTTCATGAAAAAATACCAAACGGTTTAAGAGCAACGTTAAAAAAATTTATTTACATTTTTATCTTATACACAAGACAGGCCAAGATACTTCTGGGTGAATATAACCAAAAAAGATCGGAAGCCTGCATCTGCCTGAGCAAGAACAGGCTACGTATTGTAACAGGGATCCTTACCGGGCACTGCCGACTAAAAGGACACCTAAGTAAACTGAGAGTAGTAGAGGATAGTGAGTGCAGATTCTGTGAGGAGGAGGACGAAACCTCCATTCACATCCTAACTGAATGTGTAGCACTCCAGAATCCAAGGGCACTATATCTAGGAGGATATCAAATAGAAGAGACTTACCTAACTTGAAGCCACTTCAAATCCTACACTTCCTTGAGAAAATAGGATTGGAAGGGTCGCTATAGGCATTGAGACATTTCCTTAGTGCAGTGGCGACAGAAGGGGGCACAATAGATCTTTTAGGTCGCAGTGTATTAACACCCCATTATCAACATAACATAACATCTTATACACCCTGTAACTATTTTTAGGTGCATTTTTGTATATAGGTAAGTAAGGTTTAATCGACCTATTTCTGACCCAAGAATATGTGGTAAAATTTATGACCAATCTTTCTAAAACACCCTGTAGAATTATTGGTGCTTGGTTATGTTAAAAAGTGAATATTTTAGTTATTGGTATATATATTTTGTTTTTAAAACTTTAAAAACCATCTACTTAGTTTTGAAAATTTATCAGCTTATCTAGATAGCTCATATTAATTTTTGAGTAAATAATAATACAAAATTTTACTTATTGGTTTTCAGTTTTTATTATAAATTTAAAAAATTTCCCATTTATTACGTATGTCAAATTAAAATTCTTAATACGTTTGGTTTATTAAATATAAATTAAGTGCATGTGCGCCGTTCAAAATATTTCCATGGGGTAGGTAAATTTAAAGATTTCAAAGAAATGGGAATTTGATCAGATTATGACCTCTCTTAGATATCCTCAATCAACTGGTCAAATAGAAAGAACAGTTGAAACTATCAAAAAGTTATTAAAAAAAATGTCATTCAAACAATGTAGATCACTTGTTAGCTCTTTTGCAATATAGAAATACTCCTGTAGATGACAAAAAATTAACCAGCCAACATTTTGATGAATAGAATTTTAAGAGATTTATTACCAAATTGTGATAGCCACTTTTCACCAAAGCTTTTTAATAAAAATAGATTAAATAAACACGTAAATAACTAAATTATGACAAAAATGCTAAGATTTTTTTTTCATTGGTGTACGGCTTCAACATCTAAGGTCATTAGCCTAGTGTTCTATGTAGGTTATGGATTGTACTAGTAGTCTAGTACTCCATAGTGCAGGAGTATTAGTACTCTAATACTCCTACACCCCTACAGACAGGCCTTGTTACTGTTTCCTTGCGCCACTTTAGGAACAGCACTGTTAATTAGAACCTAACAGTGAATGGTCAAGTGGGGAATCCTACCAAGGCATCAGAATTAATTTTAAATAATTAAATTAAATAAAAAAATCCCGGCCAACTGTGGGATTCGAACCTGGGACCCTTGGATCTCCAGGCAGAGACTCTACCACTGAGCCACCCACCCCCTAAATGCTAAGATTTAGAGCCTCTAAAAAACAACGATTTAATTTTTGTACAAATGAAGCCAGGTGAAATTTGAAAAAAATTAAAATTGTGGAAAAAATAGTAATTAGAGTTTATAAAGTATTTTATAAGGAATCGAAGGTTAATTAAAGGGAGAAGGGGCGAGCCATGTTCCAAAAACAACAATAACAATAGTAATATACCACCTAATATACATATAGAACCCAAATTTCTTTCGAAATGGCAGATCCATTCCAGTGTGTGATAATGATATTAATGAGGCAAAGTCTGACAGATAATAGGAAGAAAATTGACGAACAAAACGTTGCAAAGGACCATGTAAATAGTAAGGACGTAGTTAGTAACGAAAACCTAAATATTGACGAGCCTGAGCAAAGGGCAAAAATGTAATAACTCGGTATATAATAACATGACATACAACAACGTGTCGTTAAGTGATTCTAATGCCATCGTAAATGGATTTGCTGAGTACTAGCAAATCTCATAATGTATCAACAAACGCTACTTCACCATTCGACTTTGAGTGTAACACAATATTTAACCTCTCTAAATTTAAGGAAGAAGTGTTATGGGCTTTAAGGCAGATCAAACCGAAGAAAACTACCGGCCCTGACCATGTGCCGGCGTTTATAGTTAGAGACTGTGCTGTAAGTCCAATGCTTATTTTAAATACGTGCATTAAGCTTGATACTGTACCTAATTTGTGGAAAAGTTCCAAGGTTTGTCCTATATTTAAGAAAGGTGACAAAACTGATATTGCCAACTTTAGACCAATATCAATAATATGCAACTTTAGTAAAGTCTTCGAAATCCTTCTGCAAAAACATTTAGAGTATTATATTTCACCCATGATTTCATCCCATCAACATGGTTTTGTAAAAGGTCGATCTAATGTAACAAACCTCGTTAGATGCACACAGCATATCGCAGAAAATATGGACAATCGACTGCAAACTGATGTTGTGAGTGCATTTAACAGACTTGATCATGGAATGCTCAAAAAAAAACTTATCGGTTACGGGTTGTCAGAATCTGTCATAAAACGGTTGTAAACCTGTAGTCTGAGGTGCCACAAGGATCTGTCCTTGGTCCTTTGCTTTTTAATATTATTAACGTCATCGTGGAGTGCATTGATGTTGTCTTTTATATGCGGATGATTTAAAAATTTTCAGTTCAATTTCTTTCAATGCTGCTGTAAACGTATGCATAATAATATAAAAGCAGTCGAAAATCGGTGTCACTTAAACCTTCTCCCTTTAAATGCTTCAAAATGTTTTTAATAGCATTTTCATTAAAACCGGATATTATTTTATTTAACTACGAGATAAACAAGTCATATCTACAAAGACCTGAACATTTTGTCGATCTTAGTGTAACTTTTGATTCAAAGCTCTCTTTTATATTACACATTGAAAAAATTGTATCTCCTGCATCAAAAATGTATGGGTTTGTGTTACGTATTAGTAGAGAGTTTTCACATACAGAAACTCATAAAATGCTTTAAAATGAATGTCCTAAACGTTGCTCATTTTCTACTACATATTTTCGATTTTAAATCGGTCGTACCACTTGTCTTTAAAGTTGCCGCATTATCGCTATACACCAACTTCCACATTTCATGAGTTTCTTTGGAACTTTTTTGCATTAATGTTCACGCTTTATTCGAAATTCATGATACGCGGCAGTAAATGTAAACACAGCCTAATTATAGTGGTTCTGGACCACATACTTTGATTTTGTTTTACTATACGGAGAATGGTCGCACTGCGCAGCTTTCTGAGTGCCTTTTAAAAGGAGATAGAAAACTCCGCCATTTTGAACCCTTATTACGTGTTGCCTACATCTTGGCGCAATATTTTTAATAGGTGCGTTTTAATCATCCGCTTCTGCTTCGGAATTGTCGGTTTTCTTGTTTTAATCTGACAGGTTAAAACGACTAAACCAACAATTCCGGAAGCAGAAGCGGATGATTAAAACGCACCTGATATTTTGCTTGCTGCTGTCAGTGTCAGTGAATATTATTTTTGAAGTCACAGTTTATTGCTAAAGAATCAGTTAGCTCACTCGGACCAGTTGAAAGTTCCAAACTAACATCCACTCCAGGGATACAAATTCAGGATACGCAGAAGACTGCTGTTTTATTATAGGCGGTTGTCATATATTGTATTATCCGAGTTGCACAGTGTATAAACTGAAACATTGAGATCGAAAGTGCCGACACATAGTGAGCGATCTGATTCTTTAGCTGTAAACTGTGTCACAGGGTTCAAAATGGCCGCGCCCTATGTTGGGCGTGTCGGACCTCTCTCTCTTGCCTCGTATAGTAATCAAAGTATGTGTTCTGGACGCTGATTGACAAGTGTTTCAACTTGATGCTGCCTATCTCAACAGATAAGGCTATCGGGCATATTAAATAAAATGGTTCTAGCGTCAGCAGTAAATGATAAAAAATGTTATAGTATTTTTTGATCACACCTTACATTTATATGATTCAATAAAAGTAATTAGCACAAAACTGGTTTCCAAATAACTTCTTATTGTTTAAAAACAATGACGATAAACAAGTATGTGTGTCTACAGGTGGCCACCTTATTTTCTATATGCCAGCATCTCGGATTACTCAATTGTACTCGCCAACTACGATGAAGTTGTGCAGTCTTAACTCCGCCTATTGCATTTTCGTTATCACCAACTCAGCCATGGTCAAGAATATCAGTAGGTGTGACCAATCGATATCTTGATAGGTGGGTCGTTTAGATTTGTAAGTGCGCGACTTTACCTCATCGTAGTTGACGCTTACAATGCAAATTGAGGGCTTACAATCAAAAGGAATTAAGTCAAAAAATAAGTTTATGAGTTATAAGCAATTTAAAGTTTCAATGAAGTTCTAATTTTTTTATAAATTATTTAGTAATTATCAACTGCTTTCAAAATACAATGCACTGTTTTTACATGATATAACAAAAATGTAAACCCATTTTGACCAATATTTGACTTTTGCTTGTAAGCCCACGAAATTTAGTACTATTTTTAGTACTCTTTTAGTATTACTTACCGTTATTGGTTTTATTGGGAAATCAATTCTTTGAGCTGGAGTGTGGGGTTTATTAGTGACTGTTACTAATTTCGTATGGGGTAAGTAGCCATCTCTGTATGCTGTAACTTTGTATTTTCCTGGAGTTAGAAGCCTGTAGTAATCACCATCATGAACTAAAAACATATTTAAATTTTTTTATTAAATATTTTAGAGAAGTACTTAATACATGAAACAAAAGTATTGGTGATTAAATATGTTTTGACCATTTAAATTCCTCTTTATCCGTTAAAATCTAAATTGCATTCATAAGAAATGTATTTAAATAAATATTAAAGCCATCATATCTTTACCAGAAATAAGTAGTAAAAGGAATGCAATTGGCCAACAGTTTTCCATAATAATAATGCTAACTTTCGTTCAAAGGCATTTATAAAAAAATATTCCGGACTTTTAAAGGCAGTGGACTGTAATATAAGAATTTAACACCCTATATATAGGAATTTATTATTTAAATAATTATTAAAATATATTATTAAAATATATTATTAAAATATATTATTAAAATATATTATTAAAATATATTATTAAAATATATTATTAAAATATATTATTAAAATATATTATTAAAATATATTATTAAAATATATTATTAAAATATATTAATAAAATTTATTACAGTGAAACCTGAGTAAGCCGGAACCTGTGTAACACGGAATCCTGTGTATGACGGAAATTTTGGCGATTACCTACATATTGTAATGTAAAAATTGCTTATAAGCCGGAACCCTGTCTAACGCGAACACGGAATTTCCCTAATCTGTTAAGCCGGAACCTACTTATGTTATTGCTTTGCAGGTATAAAAGAATTTATAGATGTTTACATAATTAGTTTATGATTTCGGAAAGCCCCATAATAAGGGCGAACTATTATCAATACTTAGAACCATTATCACAGAAATTTAGGTACAAAAGCAGTAAATACACAAACCAGTATTGTGTAGGTACGGCAGTTTGAGTTTATCCGTGAAAGTGCAAACATTTCAAAATGGCAAACCGAAAAACGAATACATTATCGCTAAAATCTTAAATGGACTTAATTAAATGTAGTGACCAAAAAAAACTTACTCCAAAGCAATTGGTTATTCAATTTAAGTGCGGAAAAACGTAAGTGTATGAAATTTTGAAAAACAAGGAAAAAATTAAAGAAGAGTGGATGCGTGGTGGTAATGGCGATATTAAGAGAAAGCCAAAGGAATCACATCACGACGACGTAAATTCAACAGTTTTGGAATGGTTTATGGATGCAAGGTCTCGCAATCTTCCTGTATCTGGAACAATTATTCAAGAAAAAGCAAGAGAAATTGCAAACCATTTTGGAAAAGTAGATTTTAAAGCTTGGAATGGATGGCTGGAAAGTTTTCGAACACGACATAACATAAGATTTAATCAGATCTGCGGTGAAGCTAAGGACGTCGACATGGAATCTGTGACTGAATGGACATCGCACATTACAGATTTAATTAAAGGATATACCCTAAAAGACATTGCTAATTGTGACGAAACTGGCCTTTTTTATAGAGCGCTGCCGGACAAGACAATGTGCTTTAAAGGTGAAAAATGTCAAGGAGGCAAACAATCTAAAGAAAGGTTAACCGTTTTGTTTTGCGCCTTTGCTGACGGAAAAATAGAAAAACCTCTAGTTATTGGAAAATCCCTCAGACCGCGATGTTTTAACAATACCAATGTGCCTCAGCTACCAGTTTATTGGCGAGCAAATAAAAAAGCATGGATGACATCAGTTCTTATGGAACAGTGGCTTAAAATTTTAAATCAAAAAATGAAATTTGAAAATCGACACATCCTTCTATTTTTGGATAATGCAACGTGTCACCCCAAAATAATACTATCCAATATAAAATTGTGTTTTCTACCACCAAACACCACAAGTCAAACACAGCCTCTCGATCATGGAGTTATACAAAACTTCAAAATGCATTACAGAAAACAAGTGCTGCGGTCAATTATTGCGAATATGAGATTCTCTCAATCAGCAGGAGATTTGGCTAAAAAAATATTGATTATTCAGTAAAAAATATTAAACCTGATTGTGTTAAAAAATGTTTTGCGGCATGTGGAATCAAGCAAGATGGAGACGTTGACCTAATCGAAAATGTTGACGAAATTGACGAAAGTACAAAAGAAGTCGAAGAGTTAATTACTGAAATTAATCCCGGTTGTAATGTTCATGATTACATCACATTAGATGAAGCCGTTACAACAAATGCTGGATTTCAGTCCATAGAAGAACTGGTGTTAGAAAAAACTGCCGTGGAAACTACTGTGGCAGACGATAATGATGGGATTAGAATTGGTAAGCGATTTTTCTAATTCTCTAAAAAAAGAAACAACTTTTTATTTATTCTTTCCATCTTAATTGGGCATTTGGCCAAGTAGAAATAAAGTTAAAATACATAATAAAAATAAGATAGGAAGATTTCAGTTACCATCACAAAAATAACAGATAGAAAAAATTATTTTCCCATTAGCTTTTCAAAACGATCTGTTCTTAAATTATTATTTTTATCTATAGGAACAGAAGTTGAAGAATCCGATCGGATAAAAAATTTTTCTGAAACTTTGAGGAGTGTTGCAGCGTTAGAGGATTTTTCCCAAAGAATAGAGAGCGAACCGATAAGAAAGAAGATTTTAGAATTAAGGACATTCATGGAATCATCTTACGTATTACAAAAGAATAAAAAACAACTTACATTGATAGAAATGTGGAATAAATAATAATTTATATTGTTTCTAATAATAAATAAAAATATGTAGGTACATAGTAATAATAACAACTATATATTAAATGTACGTATATTAGATTTTTTTTAATAAAATCATCACTTTTTTAAATCTACTATGTGCAATTTTTTATCTACCCTGTGTAACGTGGAATCCTGTATATGCCGGAAAATCGGTGCACGGCCGTGCGATTCCGTTTTACACAGGTTTCACTGTATTAAAATATATGTGCAATGTATGGGCCACGAATTTGTTGAGTATTATTTTTCTACAGGTATCCAAAAAAGAGAAATAAGAATACTTAAATCAGACCCAAAGAATAATTTTATTACGGTACCACATCAAAAAACAGGTATTTTTTTATTTCAAGGGGGCATATTTCTATAATATCCTCATCTGACATATGTCATTCATATCCCTACGTTAATCTAACCAATACCATTTAAATAAAAAAAGTACCAAGTATGACACATCGTCGGAAAGGTAATTTTATGGGGAATTCAGCAATTGCGTTTCTTTTTATTTTAGCGCCCTCTAGCAGAATATAAAATTGTCACACTTGGTACTTTCCCTATTTAAATTGTATTGATTAGATTGATGTAGGGGAGATAAATAACATATGACAGTTAAGGATATTATAGAAAGGGTTCCCTCTTGAAATAAAAATCGACCTGTTTGTGCGTTTCTTTCAAAAAAAATTCTGCATTCTGAGATACAGCCGGTCGCCACCCCTAATGAATCACCCTGTACTTATATTTAATATTTTTACATTGTATGCTGAAAACTGTAACATTCCCTACAGAAACCGCCCCTGTTTTCGCTAAGGACGTTTACGGCCAATACTTTTAATTTTTTTTTATATTCTTGGTTGTCAATTAACAAATGACTATTAAAAACGAATATTACAAAATAATGTATCTAAAAAACATAACTTTGATCGTATTAGTATTTTACCTGAAGTGATATCATGGTTGATGTCATAAGACTCCTCATTGGTGACATTCTTAACATGGATGACGGCGTTAGGAATACCCCTTTTAGTTTGACTATCGTACACCACACCCTTAATTCCAATGTGGGTCTGAAACAATAATGGTCTCTATAGCATTTTTATTTTTTTAACAAGTTAAGCCTAATTATGTACTAGTTTCTTTATTAGTTTCTTTTGGGTACAGAATAAATCAAAAAAATATGTGTGAGTTGAAAAAAACTACTAGTATCCATTTTGAGAAATGAAGCTTCAAAGCTACACATGCCATTTGGTTTTAGGCTTGTAATCTTATTTTAAAACCCCAGTATAAGTATTCTAGCAGTGTTAACACTCCCTGGGCGGGATAAAGACGCGCAGCTTTTACTGCGCTGGTGTTTTCGGGATATAATCTATCAGTAGGTATAAATCCGGTTAAAAACTCGTTACCATATGTAATAGATCATCCTGTAAGAGGATGTTTTGTAGCGGTCTCCAGGGAAATGGATTAGGTTGATGGGTGATAAGAATGGTCATAATAAATAAATTATTAAACTTGATCTAAAAAAATCTTATTTCAAGAATAATTTAGAAACCCTCTAAATAATTCTCTACAATATAGCGCAGTCAGAGCAAAACGAACGAATTTTTCAAATTGACTATGGTAAAAAGATGAAGGTACCCAAGACAAGAGTGTTTTTGGAGAAAAGGATTTGGATCAGCTAATGTCAAAATGAATGGCGTTTGCCACTTAAAACAGATCTTATAAAAATTTCTCAATACGATAGACAAGGTGAGAATCCTTCTTCTTGGCTCAGTTCGTATGAATATGTCTGGTCAGCTAACAAATGGATTACGGAAAATAAGAAAATTTTTAATCTAAGAAATCAATTAAAAGGCATTGTATTAAGGTGGTACGAAGATAGAATCCAATATAGTATACTAAATCAATATACATGGGAAAATTGGAAACTGAGTTTTATCAATACATTTGATGAAAATATTGTTTTAAAATGGGAGAAAGCTGTGAATTATTAATATTATAATGGTAATATCCTAGAATACTTTTACGAGAAACAAAAGTTAATAAAATAGGCAGATAGTAACATTTCTGAACTTTCATTAGTGGCAATGATAATTCTGGGTTTTCCCATTGGTGTTAAGACGAACTTCTCTGACAAATGGAGATAATTTTGAGTATTTACTTTTAAATGGTCAAAAAGTAAAAGAACTCTTTGATAATGGATCGGATATTAATCTGATTAATGAAGAATTAGTAAATAAAAATAAATTTCCTGTTCATGATTAAGAAAATTTTATAAAATAACTTTAAAAATATTAAAAAATAAAATGATAAGTAAATGAAAATGATAAAAAAAGTACAATTTATTGGGCATAAAAAGATTTGTCGTGGTATTTACTGAAACAAGGAAGACACAGTGTTACATTACATTTTTTTGCAGAAAGTACGCGGTTTTCCTTTACATAGAATAAACTGGCATCGGCGTTGATTATCCCTTTTTTCCAAAATATGATTTTTTCCGTCAAACCGAACATCGTAAACAACTTGTGCTCGCGATGTAAAAGGTAGACTGAGTGGCCTTCCTTTTTGTAGCCGTCTACCATGTGCCAATTTTAGATAAGCAACAGCAATATTCCTTCAAAATTCCTTTATTGAAGTCTTATCCTGGGCATGCAGCAGGTTATATAATATAAAACTGTTTACCACAGCCATATCCACAATACGGGTGATTAAACACCAGTACTACTTTTTACCTCTTATGGCTATTGAATGTTTCTCGAGTAGCCAATCATGGTGATCTACACCGCCCATGCATTTATTATAATTATTAATAAGTCTGGGCTGTGTAATTGGAGCATGCTCTTTTTTGTCTTTATTCCACCTTTGGACTGCACAAATTGGCTCCACAGTGTCAAAATTTGTTCCCATTGTAACGCACTTGTTGTCGTTCCATCTCACCATAAATCATCAAATCGGTAATCAAATATTCCCCTTTTCGACTTTTCCACTTCTTTAACGGACATCATAGGGCATTTTTCTGTCCTGTTGTCTCGGATAGTGCCAGTTGCACGAAATCCTTTCTCTTTCAAAATTTTGAATAAATTGTAGCTACTAAAAAGTTATCAAAGTGAACTGTGTATCCGAAAGGATTGTCTACTACGGTCAACATATTTGTAACAACCCTTGTTCCTAAAGGGTTATTTGACTGTATTGCTTCTTTTATAGGGAGAAATTAAAGCAGTATCCACTGTCACCACACAAAGCCCACAATTTATAACAAAATCTGATTGGTTTTCCTCTTATAAATTGCTTTAGACCATGGCGGCCGTAATATCGTACCATCATTTGGTCTATAGACAGATGTTTTTGGAAAATCTCCCACTTTTGAAAGTTTTTATTCAGAGCATCAAGAAGGGGCCTTATTTTGAACGCCTTATCGTGTTTGTTTTCATTTGATTTTGTATTATCTTGCAAATGTAGCAATGCCTTTATCTCTAAGTATCGGTTCCGACTCATGGCGTCCTTTACTAATTGTATACCCAAATCTTCAGCGTCAGACCAATAATCCCGTTCACTGGGCAGTCTATGATATCCAAAAAAAAAAAAAGAAAAATCCAATGAATATCTTTATGTCTTCAATTTCCACAGAAAATGACGGCTTATTTTTTTGTTCAGCTGCATAACGAATTGTTTCGTCTACAATTTTCTGATACACCTGTTCCGAAAAAAAATGTTCAAAAATTTCCAACATGCTTACGTCAGACAAAATGGGCCACATATCCGGCAAACTTTTCTTGCGGCGTATTAGTATTTTCCCATATATCAAATTGTGGATTGGTTTTCTTCCATTTCGGTACGTTTTTTTCAAGAAATATTTTTTTACTCCACTTTGGAGCGGATTCTTCTTCCCCATTGGATGAAAAATCTGACTGCTCCTTTTGATGTGACGTTGATGGCCCTTGTCTGGTAAAAACCGATAAAGGAACATTATTATCGTCTTCATCATCGAAAGGCAAGTTTATTTCCGTTTGTCCTGCAACATCCGATACAACAGGTACATCCAGATCGTCATCGTTGAGATCATCTTCATCGGTAAGCTCATCCACTTCAGGCGGTAAAGCTACGATGGCAGCCTCGATTTCTTCTGAATATAGATATTCGAAAGCTTCATCTAAAGTTTTAAAAACTTGTCTACTCATGTTGGCTAATTCTGAAAAAAAAACCAATATAATATCAGAAAAATATTGTAAATGAAATATGACTCTAAATCCCAGCGTCCTCATTCGAGGACACAGTTATTTATCATCGATTTCCAAAAAATTATAAGAAAAATATGCAACCGTGATATACCACAACAAAAGATATACATAAGTATTCACTTACCTAAAGTACAGCAGTAGATATGATTTAAAATACCTCTGGCCGACGGAGCGATAAAAACACAGATTTTCAAAAATATTATGTCTGGCTTGTATAAATCTTACGGCAAAACTAAACGTTTTCAGCCGAAGTTAAATCCATGCACGTGCACTTAGGCTAAAAATAGATTGTATCGATTGTTTTTTATGGCTCCAGCAATAGGTTTGTTCGGGTTTCCTTAAAACTCGATGCAAACCGTCCGAGAACTAGTGGAACAGTTCAATTATAAAGTATACGTCGCACACAACTATTAAACTGTCCACTGGTCAACTAGTCCTCTGATAGTTTTCAATGTATTTTAAAGAACCCGAACAGACCTAATGTTTATTTTAAACTGTCCTCAGATGAGGACGCTGGACGCTAATGGGTTAAGGTGTTGCTCGCGACTATAAATCAATCTGTGTACGATTTATTGATAGATTATGTAAGTAAAAATATTATTAATATCTAATATTTAAACGTAATACCTTTCAATTTGTGTGGTTGAAGGACTAACGTCCATTGCCAATAAAGGAGGAAAAAAAAAATTACAGAAAACAATATATCCAAAAATGTTCCAAATTTATTAAAATATAATAATTCAAAACCGTCAAACTTTGAAATAGATTTTAATTTAAAAGAAAATTCAAAAATTGTTAAGCTGAAATCCTATCGATATTCAGAAAACAAAAGAATATGGATAAAAAATAAGGTTAATGAGTTACTTAAAAACAAAATAATTACGAAGTCAATATCTCCTTTTGCTTCACCGTGTATTTTAAACACAAAATCTGATGGGAATTTTCGGTTATGTATTGATTACCGAAAAATTAATGAGGAAACTGAATTAGATCCATTTCCTTTTCCAATCGGTGATGAAATAATTTAAAAATTTAGTAAACTTTCTTTTTTATGCCAGATAAAAACAGTTGTCACAGACTGTGCATCTGCGTTGACATCTGGATCATTTAAAGAATGGGATACCTCGAAGGGGATAGCAATTATCCACACTTCTCCTTACCATCCGGTAGGAAATGGATTAACCGTTAGAGAAATAAAAACGTATATACAATGTTGTAAGGATTTTATAAGTGGTTGGAAAATATGCCTTGAAAACGCCGTTCGACACCAACTATTCCCATAATTGCAAATTGTTTGGAAAGAGTGTACTTTTAAATGCTGACAAAACATTTAATATAAAAGGGCCCCTATAAGAATTTCCTAAATATTTGGAAAAACAGTTGAAATAAAATTCAGAAGCAAGCAAATAAAAATAAAAAATGCTTCCTCTAATCGTGAAAGTGAACGATTTTATTTTAGTAAGAAGTCAGAAAATAGAAAAAAAATTTGACCATTTAGAGTAATACGCACAAAATATATGGAAGGACTTTTTACTCATGTCCACTATGAAAATGGTCAAAGGGAAGAAGTTGCCCATGTATCAAACCTGACTATATCATCACAGGAGTGATGATTTTCTGAAGGAGGGGGTATTGTAATAGATCATTCTGTAAGAGGATGTCTTGTAGCGGTCTCTAGAGAAATGGATTAGGTTGATGGGTGATAAGAATAATCACAATAAATAATTAAACTTGATCTAAGAAAAACCTTATTTTAAGAATTATTTAGAAATCCTCTAAATTATTCTCTACGCCATATTTCGTACACAAACTACAAACTTTTGTTTACATTTTATCGAAGTAGTTTTTGTAATACATTCACAGCTTAAAAATGGAAAATTTGTAATTTTCATAGTATATTTAGATCAAAAATACCACAAATGTTTTATTCTTATTGTTACGTGTTATTGCTCTTTTAATTTGAGGACATTAGAATAAATAGAGTCCTAAAACTAATCAAGCCAAAAAGGTGTGTTATAAAAAGAAAATAAATTGCATTTAACTGATTTATGTTTAATATATTTTCGTGAAGTATTTCTAACATGCCAGTTACTTGAATAGTTGTAAATTGTAAGAGTAGAATTGATAAAACTTGTCTAGTGCTTTTGTGCTACCTTCTTCTTTTTTAATCTTAGCCAGCAGTAGTAGCAACAGCATTAACAATTGCTCCCGTATGAATTCAACAATTAAATCAAAATATATTATTTGAAGGACCTATATCAACTATTTTTAATTGTAAATATAAATATTTGTAATAAAATAGTAGTTGTGTAGGGGGGAGTGGGGCAAGTCAGTCATAGGGGGCAAGTGCGTCTTTTGGAATAATTCGTATAATCGGCAACATAGCCGGCAACAATCGTTGCAGTTCACGTACAACAACAAGTAGTGAAAAATGGTCCGTATTTACGTGCGCAAGACCCAAAAGGGATCATATTCCGAAGATGCTATGCAGCGTTGCTTAGAAGCTATTCAGAATAAGAAGATGTCAATCAAGAAAGCTAGTGTGGTTTTTAACGTTCCGAGAACCAGCATACACTTACGATTGAAGCGACAGGGGCAGAATCCGGTTCTAAACCTAGGCAGGTACAAACCCGTGTTCAGTGAAAAAATGGAAATGGATTTAAGTGAACATAGAGTGAACACTTAGAGAAGCTATCCTATGGACTCTCAACGGCAGATCTTCGACAGATTGCATTTCAGTTTGCTGAAGTTAACCAAATCAATTATTCGTTCAATAAAGATCGGAAGCTGGCAGGAAAAGACTGGCTGATATCATTTTTAAAGCGTCAAAAAACCTTTCTATTAGAAGACCTGAAGCAACAAGCATTGCAAGAGTGACAGGATTTTCCAAGCACAGAGTCAATGAGTTTTTTAAACATTTAAAAGCGCTCTTGGACAAGTACAATTTCCCTCCGTATCGCATATTTAACTGTGATGAGACAGGGATTATCTGCGTTCAAAAACCAGAAAAAATAGTAGCGGAAAAAGGAAGAAAGCAAGTGGGAAGATTAACTTTATTGGAAAGAGGAAAAAATACTACATTACTAGCATGTGTTAGTGCTACGGGCACATTCATTCCACCATTTATGGTCTTCCCTCGTGTAAGAATGAACCCAACCTTGTTAAGTGGTGCGTTTCCTGGAACAGTAGGATTCCCTGCTCAATCCGGATGGATGGATGCCGACCTATTTGTTAAATTTTTAAAACATTTTATAGACTCTACACAAACAACCAAAGAGTCTCCGAGCCTATTGATACTAGACGGTCATTCAAGTCACAAGTCCACTGACTAGAAATTATGTAGTTTCTGTTTTGACCTTACCACCTCATACTTCGAATAGGCTACAGCCTCTTGATGTAAGCGTATTTGGGCCCTTCAAAACCTACCTAGCAAGAGAAATGGACCACTGGCTGACAAATCACCCTGGCTCTAGAATCACCGAATATGACATGGCTCCTATTATAAAAAACGCCCTTATTAAAGCATTTACACCAATAAATATTATGAAGGGTTTTGAAAAACCAGAAATCTTCCCTTATGACCCGGATGTGTTCCAAGAGAGCGACTTTGAGGCGGCCGAGAATATTCTTCAAAAAGAATCAAATCCAGAAAGCGTCAATCCCTTGGTCAATTCCGTAAACTTGGAAGATGCACCTAATTCAGAATCGCATGAAGATAACATCCAGAATGATACTAACATACTACCAGTTTTAGACGCAACAGAACAACCGTCACTGTTTCTATTTCAAATTCAAGCCTTATCTGGAAACCATCTCAAGGGAAAAGCAACTCCAAAGCACTTTTAGAACCAGATCAACCGTCATGCAGTTCTGTTTCTACTTCAAATTCAAGCCTAATCTTGAAATCATCTCAAAGGCAAAGCAAAATCCAGAACCACAGAAGGATCCAAAATAATCACCAGCTCACCTTACAAAAATCAACACGAAGAGGAATTGAAAGATAAATTAAAAACAGTAAAAGCTAAATCAGTCAAAAAGAATTTTAACAAAGCAGGGCCAAGTTCGTGTCTTGAAAATGTGAAAGAAAAAAAAACTTGAGAGAAAAAAGGTGCATCGGCAAAAGCATCAGCAGCAATGTCAGAGGAAGAGAAAGCCACAATATACAATTACTGTCATAAGACATATGGAGACACTTGTAACGACGAATGGATTATGTGCATAAAATGTGGTGCCTGGATGCATGAAGAGTGTTCAGATAACGAACCGGGTGCTGATAAATATGTTTGTGATAACTGCCGATGATAATTAGTATAAAGACTCACTTGCCCCAACTGGGTGATTCACTTGCCCCATAACTTGGGGCAAGTGAGTCATTTGACAATTTTTTTATGACCTTCAATTAAAACTTAAAATTTTCCTCATTTTTCAATGTTAGGTTATGACCTAAAGAATTAAAGTTTATTTTTATTCAATACACGTTGTTTCATTTCTACAAGTATAAAAGTTATTATTTGTTAAACCTTAAGGTGTCTCTCTTGCCCCACCCTCCCCTATTAACGAACCTGTAGATACACCAAAAGATATATTCTTTACATATAATCAGGTATCAAAAAAATATGTATGTACTTATAGAAATTTGTTGAAATATGTTCTATTGATCTAAATCTTTTTAATAGGTTCTTATTATAGTTGTAAATAAGACAACACTTTTTATCCGTCTATTTAACACTAGGTAATAATTTGGTTATACATGTTACAAACATATGCATATTTTAAGTTCTAAGGATCCGTACCCTCTTAATTTTCATTAGACATAAGACCTGTGATGTCACAATAAATCGTGAATATGAGGTAAAAGATTTGGGAGTTGTCTTTTAGTCTAATTTGAAGTTCAATAACTATTACTTACACATAACTAAAAAATCAATGAAAGCAGGTTTTTAAATCAGAAATACAAAAATTTAGGATTTTCACTAAAATCAGATCATATAATGCTTAAGTAAGAACCCATCTAGACTATGCTTCACAAATATGGAAGCCACACTTATTGATTATATTGAAAAAGTCCAGAAACTATTTTTATGGCACCTTTATGTCATAAAAAAACCCATACCGTTCTTATATAAAACTATGCTTAATAATTTTAAGGTTAAATCTGTTTAACAAAGAAAGAAACAACAGTGATATATTTGTACTTTATTTTAAATAATTTTAATGTGCCAAAGATTCATCTAAGAATTCCAAGTAACAAAAAATTATTTAGTGTACGTTCAAATAGTATATCTCCTTTAATTCCTCTATTTTTGCTAGACCACCGAAGTTCTGAACATAAATCGACCAGTTATACTCCATCTTTGAGGAGTACTGGAAGGGAGATGCAGCTTCCGCATGATCTCCTCTTGGAAGACAGCCTTCTGGTGAAGAAGAAGGCCATACATCTCTCACGTACATTCAGAAGAGAAAGATTAGAAAAGTGAAGGCCCCTACATCGTCCTCAAGAAAATCAGTTACCTATGTAGCGACATGCACTACATATCTTCATCATTTTTATTACGTCATAGGCATTACATTGTTGTCATTATTTAGAAAACCTTTCGTGGCAGTTCTAGCACAGGATAAATAACGATACAGAAAAGAAACATAGGGCTAAAACAGGAACCTAGCAACCGAAGCCACACCTTCTTTATGGTGGAGCATTGTCAAAAGTGAATCGTAGATTTGTTACTTGTTCAAAGTGCAACAGTGCACACTTTTGTAGCAGATGAACGAAGCTGTCACTGCTGTCGCTGTCAATATTTTTTTGCCTATCGTCTTTATTTGTCGTTTTGGATTTTTGGTTGGTTTTAGGGTTTTAGCGAATATTCATTTAATAACTTTTAGTGGTTTATTTTTAGTTTTTGTTGCTGTTTTTAATTGTGGAGTGTTCATTTAAGACTTTAAGATTAGGTTTATAAGATATGATACATAATTCTATAAAAGAGAAATGTAGTTTTCGCAGTGTAGATTTAGTAAATAGCTACGTTCGCGTGTACTATGAATAGTTACGTTTTCTCAGAGTATCTCTGTGGTGGAACTGAAGGTCAAATATTTTTATCCCTTCAACTTCAAAGTTCCGACCATTACTTTCTTTTCTGTATCGTTCTTTCTTCTGTGGTTCTAGCAAAGACAAAAGGTTGTATTATACTCATGGCGAGGGAAACAACATTGTTTATTTTATAATAATGACTTTTTATTTTATACATGACATGTAATTTTTCTTCTTAATATACTTTATACATCTACAACGATAAATCATTTATTTATGATGGGATCAATATATTTTAAAGATCCCACATTTTTTTTTTATTCAATATCAAACATTTATTTAAATACTAAAACAAAGTAAACTTTTGGTGACACAAATTAACAGTCTCATTATCTTAACCAGCCAATATTTTCAACAATTATTGCATGCTATCATCTTAAATCTCTGACCATGCTATTAATTGCAATCATGACTCACCTGCCACATGTAATTTAGAAGAGCGTCCTTATTTCTCTTCCATTCGTTTTCCAATTCGCTTGAGGGAGGATATTTATCGCATCCCAATTCCATAGTTATTTCGAAATCGTTGCTGGATAGATAATTAAAGTCTTGCATGCCTGAAATGAATTTTAAAATTAAAGAAAACAGTGTAACGTGCTTATGGTTTTTAGTTATTCAATATGGAAATTTTTAAATAGGTACGAACTTTAAATAAAAAAAAATATATATTATAATTATTGGGAAAAAGTACAACAAAATTTTGATTTGGAAACATTATTAAAAATCATGTGTGACACTACAACCTATTGTATTACCCCTGTAAATGTTTAGATGATCAATTAAATACATACATTTTCGGCACATATCTTGAAACATTTTTTTATTCACAGGGTGTTTCAGAATAAAGTACCGTAAACTAAAGAACTTGTAGATCTTAACTAATTATTAAGAATAGATAAGTATAATTTTCCTGTAGACGACCCAGTTTTCATTTTATAGGGTGATAAAGTAAATTTCATAAATACATAATTTTCTAAATATATTTTTTTACGATAATAATTTCATCTTAAAATTATGTACTTGTTAATCATCATTATTAGTTAATATAATTTATTTCGATAAATTACGATAATCCATTGGCATAGAATCAAGGGCTAAGAAAACAATTTTGATCCAAACTTTTTAAATACCCTATATCTCGCAATTTGTCACAAAACAGTAGCTCAAAGTTGATCTCTGTTAAACTTCCATTTCAGAAATATTAAAATCTAACTAACTTAAGAAGACGAATAACGCTTGCCATTTTAGGCCCATATCTCTAATTCCGACACTCGGAAAAATTATTGAGAACCTTGTAAAAACTCGACTAGTTAGATATCTAGTTTCTTCTTGTTTGGAATTAGCTTATACAAGTTTAAATTTCAACGAGGCCGTAGCTGCAGTATTTTGTGATCTGACTAAAGCTTTTGACTGTGTCAACCATGGAGTACTGCTGTAAAAGCTTGAAATTTATGGCATAAGAGATGTGGCCTTGAGTTGGATGAAATCCTACCTTTTAGGTCGCAAACAGTTAGTCCGAACTGTTTCAGACTCGAACACAAGTGACATAAAATGGGGTGTCCCTCAAGGTTCTGTTCTTGGGCCCACCCTGTTTTTAATTTATATCAATGATTTAGGTAAGTTAAATATCTCAGGAAGCGTCACTCTATTTGCTGACGATACTACTATCTTGTGACACAATAAAGACGTCAATATTCTTTATGCAAATATTAGTAATGACCTAAAATCCTTTAAAACACGGTGCACTGCAAATTTTCTGTCATTAAATTTTAAAAAACCAAAAATACTAACCTTTAAATGTAATGTTCCTGATATTTTAATAGATATGGATACTGTAGAAGCCACAAACTGTACAAAATTTTTGGGTTTAAATATCGACATGGATTTGAAATTATTCCTTATGTGAAAGACCAGAATCAGGGATTTTTTGAAGACATTGTTCGTTTATAAAAAATAAGTAGATTAAGCTGAATATATTATCTTTGTATGTTTATAAATAAAAATTTGTAAAAAAACAATTTTATTTCTTCTTTTAAGCCTTTTAAAATAATGGCACTTAGCTCAATTTAAAACTAATATTAGTATGGCACTTAGCCCAATATAAGTGAAAATTATAATGGCACTTAAAGTTTTTTTTATTATACTCCTAAATAAAATGACCTACATAAAACATAAATATAAAATATTGTTTATACTATGAATATGCGCTTATAACATAATAGAAAAAATTTTAAATAAAATATTTTAGGTTCTACAAAGTTTTTATCAAATAACTCAAAATGTTTTTTGGCACTTAGCCCTTTATTTACTTTAAGTCTTCATATGTGGTAGTATACTTTACAAAATTATCACTAAAATGAGATTCGTAAAAACCCTCTTGTTGTATTAATTACAAAATTCACATTTGTTAACTATTCATGGTCCTTCGAGCCAGGATTATTTATCCAAAATACGATGTTAAAACAAGCTATAAAAATAATGCTTATAATACTTGTGGATACTGCACACTATCCGGAGCACAATAAACAATTCCTATAAGAAATTCTGTCGTCTGAGGCTGGTCCAACACGATCAGACGATTACCACATGGTGGTGTAACGAGTTAAATCACCTCAGGAAGATGGCTAGAAAATCCTTTATTAAAAGGCAAGGACCACAAAACTCAAAGAGGACTGGGATACTTACAAATCTCACCTCAAATAATACAAAAAATTGTCAGACAAAACAGAGAGATGCATGGAGATTATACTGCGAAAAAATCGAAGAAAATATTTCCTGCACCGAAGCATTGGTGCCCTAATCAAAGAGGATGGCACGAAAACTGCCAACCTCGCAGATAGCATCAAACCTGCTGTCAACACACTTCCCTGACTCGGTGATCACAGACGTTACCGACTGGGCTAAGGAAGAATACAACCCATCTGTCTATGATTGGCATACTGTCAAACACATTGTAGACAATTAAAAAATTAGATGGACAATATCCACCTTCTCTCCATTTAAATTCACAGGACTTGACGGTATCTATCCAGCTCTACTTCAGTGGGATCTGGATATTCAGATCCTCGTTGACTTTGTATATCCCCAAAAAAATAAAGAGAGGTAAAAGTGGTATTCATACCCAAACCTGGAAGGATGGACTACACTGTCCCAAAAACATACCAACCAATAGTTTGACATCGTTTTCCATGAAGGCATTGGAAAGGCTATGCGAAACGTAGATAAGGGATGCGGTGATTACAACAACACCACTACACCCAAACCAACATGCATACACCCCAGGCAGATCTACTGATTCAGCCCTTCATCTATTTGCTGGCCGGATAGAGAGATCCCTGGACAATAAGGAGTCTGCCTTGGATGTTTTCATAGACATAGATGGCGCTTTTGATAAAATCACCCTCCCAAAGATAATACACTCACTAGCCAATAGGAATGTTCCACAGATGGTTAGTGGGTGAATACTGGTTAAATTCTACAATTTCACCAGTAAAAACATCAACAAATTAATATTTTACATCTACTAAATAAATAAACAATTCTCAAATAGTTCGACTGCTTTTTACCCTAATATAATGTGAAGTCATAAAACTATAAATAGCATTTTTCTCAGAATACCGAACGTCGAACACCTGTGTGCACAGCTGTGCGTTGGAACAAAATGAGTGTCCGGCGCATAGTTAACGAAGCACAAATGACGTATTTCATTATGTCATGATGTTTTCATTGGTTGAAACCGAATAGGTGCGTCAACTATGCCCCGGACACTCATTTCGTCCCAACAGTATATATTAGGGTGAGCTCGACGTGAACGGCATTCAGTAGTTGTCTTATTGCCACCAACGATCAGTCTTATCATTGCTATCAACGCGAACAGTCGGTTCAGTTGTCTTTTTGCCATCATCGCTCACAGTTGTCGTTGCTATCCGAACGTTCAGGTGCTTCCTGCCGACGGCACGCTACTTTCTACATTTTTACAAGCGTTTAATGCAGTTTATTTTCTGGTGAAAGTTATATCTTCTACAATTATTATGGCATAAGAAATTCTACAAACAAATGTTTTCAAGTTGGTAACTAAAAAATCAACTGTATTAGTTAATCAAATTGTATTGAACTAAAATTGTAAATATTTAAAACTGTTTAGTGAAGATAAGAAAATTATTATATCTAAATGGAATCAACCACTATGTATTTACTTCAGTGAAAATAGTAAATTAAAAACACTTCTTTTTCTACTACCTATGACTCGTTAGTTATTTCTACAAACGAACCCAATTCTTCTAACACCAGCGACATATGCTACAGAACATTTTTACCAAAGAAATATTCGGAAGTAACACCGGTATTTTTTTAAATACATAACACGCTCTCAAAGCAAGCAGTAAAGAGCATTGTCTTCAGTTTTATTAGAAACCTTCCTTACACCTTGGCTGAAAGGTCTCCGCAATCTTTGTTGTTTTGACAGCGTTTCTTAACGTTAAATATTTATCTACTAATGACATTTAATTCAGCAGCCACTTCACTTAATGACCAATTTTCGTCCAATTTTGCTATAGCCTCTAATTTTCTCTTGTAATAAATAGTTTTTATAGTTTTACGAGTATATGTTTAAATGTCAATTTAATTTAATTTTGCCATAGCCTCTCATTTTCAATTATAAATAAATACTTTTTGTAGTTTTATATGACTAGCTATCAATTTTATTTTTTAATAATTAAACTATTTTTGTATTTTTATATTTACACATTTAATGTAGCTAAGATCGATTCGACAAAACGGCACAAGCAAAAGTAATATAATTTTGTTCACAATGTTCTCAACTCTTTTTGTAAGACCTATAGGAATTAATTTCAGTAAAAAATCCCATGACAACCGAAAAGTGTTCACATTTGCTTTGCGCCGACTATAAATCTATAAAATAAAGCAGGCATGCTTTTTTTGAGTTACTAACCTCCTTGTAAGCTATACCATTTTGCTCCGTTTGTAATTCCTCCTTGTTTTGGGAATGCGCTGCTTTCGATGTCACCACAGCCGTGTCTATTAGGTTTTGCCATATCAGCGTGACGAGTTGAGTAAGACAAAGCTAAATGTCTAAAAAATATTTTACCAAATTAATATAGGTACATAAATTAAATACCAAACATCTAAATTAGGAATTAATCCCTAATAAATACTGTGCGAAGTACTAGTTCAGGAAATTATTCAAGTTAAGTGTATAATAAATACAAGTGGATACGAGGTGGGGCAGAAAAGTAATGAGACTGATTTTTTACTTTACGTTTGTATTTTTTTAACATCAATGTTATCACCTTCAAAGTAGTTCTCTTGGACAGCTACACACCGATGGGGACGTTGTTCCCATTGTTAGTAGCAGCGCTGGAAGTCTTTAACGGTTATGGTTTTCAGCATGTCCATTATAGATGATTTTTAAAAACCTGCAATGACGGCTTTTTAGGACATTTTTCAGTTTAGAAAAAAGGAAGAAGTTACAGGGACTGTATACTTTATAAAGCCGTCCTTGAAAAGCTCAGAAAAAGGGTCATTCGCGTGAGACCAGACATTGTAGAGAAATGGTTGCTCCATCATGACATCGCCCTATGTCACACTGCCCTCTCCATATCAGAATTTTCGATCTCAAAAGGCATTTCTGTGGTTTCCCCATACCCCTTATTCCCCTTATCTCAGTTCCTGTGACTTCTTCCTTTTTTCTAAACTGAAAAATGTCGGGATTCAAGAAATCATCTAAAAGACTGTAACGTACATGCTGAAAACCATAACGGCTGAAGACTTCCAGCATTGCTACCAACAGTGGGAATAACTTCTTCATTGGTGTGTAGCTGCCCAAGGAAACTACTTTGAAGGGGATAACATTGATGTTTGAAACAAATAAAAAATTTGTAAAGTAAAAAATCAGTCCTATTACTTTTCTGCCACACCTCGTATGTTTTAAAGAATTAGATAAGTGTTTTAATAAATCAGAATTTAAAACCATTATTTGTATATAGCATCGACAATTTTGTCGAAAAAGTGATCAAATACAAATATTTAGGTAGGATAAATAAAAAGTGTGCTAAATTAGAGAAATACTACTTCTCGGATCACCTTAGGTTTTGATACATTTTATACAGGGTGTCATTGAAATTGTGTAAAAAAATTCGGGAGGTGATAGTACTCCTAAAACTAGTAAAAAAAGTTTTTATAACTATGGGTCGTTAACTACATATTAAGGAGGTCCTTTCGCCACCAATGTTAAATAAAAAATATTAGATTATGACTAAAATTATTTTTTTTCTAATAGTAGAAGTCCTTATTTATCTAATAGTGAACTTTTAACTATACCTTACCGTGCAAATTTTTGAGAATTTTTTTTTAAAATGTTTCTTACGAGAAAGTTAAACTTCAACAACAATTTTCGAATTATAATTAATTTTACTATTATTTATTGATTAGATGTAGTAGAAAAAAACTAAAAATAAGGTTTTTGAAATATTTAGGTTTTGTTTTTTACGATAAAATATATAGGTTACCGTGGAATTTATTGAGAAATTAATATTACAAAATTTTCAACTAGGTTACTCCAAATTTTTAATATTAATTTCTCAATAAATTCCAAGGTAACCTATATATTTTATTGTAAAAAACAAAACCTAAATATTTCAAAAACCCTATTTTTAGTTTTTTTCTACTCCATCTAATCAATAAATAATAATATAATTCGAGAATTGTTGTTGAGGTCTTATTTTCTCGTAAGACAGTACAAATACTCACATTTTTAAAAAAAAAATTCTCAAAAATTTGCACGGTAAGGTATAGTTAAAAGTTCAATATTAGATAAATAAGGACTTCAACTATTAGAAAAAAAAATAAATTTTAGTCATAATCTAATATTTTTTATTTAACATTGGTGGCGAAAGGGGTGGCGAAAGGGATGGCGAAAGGACCTCCTTAAGGGATTTAGGGGCGTCAAAAGGGCAAAATTTGAAAGTGGTTTTTTTAAAATTGTAAGCTTAAAAAACACGATAAAACTTCGAAAAAAATCCCTGTTGACATAAAATTTATTGCTGAATCCAATGGTAATATCTAAAAATTACTTTTTTAATCAGAAAGGGTAGTTCTTGCAAGGGTAAGGGGTCGATTTATGATTAACTTTTTAGAGGTTGATTTTTTTACAACGTGGGTCTATTTTTTAAAAACAACTACCTTTTTTCCATAAAAAAGTTACTCTTATTGCAAGTCGCTTAAAGCAACCGTTTTCGAGAAAATTGAAGGAAAAGAGTTTGGTAAACCTGTAGTTGAAAAAAAATGACTTATTTTTTGATGGGTATCTCACAGATTAATGAACATAAATTTATGAAAATTGTGACGTGTTAAACTAATCAACCTCTCAAAAAACTCATAAACACTAAAGAAAAAAAATATTGTCAAGTAATTTTATTATGAAAAATTATTTTTTGTCTGTGAGTCAATTTTTTTCTCTCAACTTTACAATCGGAAGGTAAGTGGCAACCCAAACCCCAGAAGAAATTTGTGGGCACGCCACTGTCAATGAATACTTTTTGTAAATGGAATAGGACAGAACAATAGCTATGTAGGGGAGAGGGCCCTAAGATGACGAAGTAGGTAAGATGACGAATCGGCTATAAATCAAACACTCTTTCTCTTTGCGCGAACAATATGATGTGAAACGTTCGTTATGCGCGTGCACCTTACGTAGTTTCTTTCACTTCGCCCTCGAGATGGTTAGTTTGTCCAGAACAAGTGAATAAGGTGCATCGTCGTGCTTCGTTATAATTTTAGTGGCTTACAAAATAACGTCTGCATTTTTTTAGGTAAGTTTAAACTCAAAAATTTTGTTGCTAAATGTTTATGAGTGTGTTTGGCATGATCGGTGATATTTTCACAAACACTAAATTCACGTTTTTTCTTTTATTAATTTTTTAAATTTTAACTGTGAGTGGGGTTAAGTTGACGAAAAACAAAGTAGGTAAGATGACGAATTCGTCATCTTACCCACTCCCATATAATATGATGTTTGTTGGGTAATACATTATTTTTACACAATTTTAGATCATAAAATATGGGAAGAGTCTACAAGCGCAAAACGAACCGACAATCATGGAGTAAAGAGAACATGCGAATTGCCATAAATGAGGTTAGACAAAACAACAAAAGCGTAAATTCCATGGCAAAAGCATATAATCTTCCGGAACCAACTCTTAGAAGATATCTAAAGCGGTATCCGGTTAAAATCTCTCCTAAAATAATATAATGTTAAAAACAATGATTGGTCTTTATTTTCAGGAATTTCCTTGCAATGCTGGTCGATTCAAGAGCACGTTTTCTGATGTGGAATTAGAAGAACTACGACAGTACATTATCAATATTGACAAACGCGCATTTGGACTAACCAAGAAGCAATTCAGCAGGATAATTTATGATTTTGCGGAAAAACGTCACATTTCACACAGATTTAACATAAAGAAAAAGAAAGCTGGACGACACTTCGTTGAGTGGTTTATGTGGAAATACAACTTTTCCCTACGAAAGCCAGAATCGACTTCGATAGCTAGACTTATGGGATTTAATCGCCAAAGTGTTTCCAATTTTTTTAACGCACTTAAGGAACTTAAAGAAAAATATAATTTCCAACCCAATCAAATTTACAATATAGATGAAACCGGTGTATCAACAGTTGCCACAAAAAATCCCAGGATAATTACCCCAAAAGGCAAGCGAAGAGTAATTAAGATATCTTCTGCAGAACGAGGAACTAATGTGACTGCTGTATGCGCGATGAATGCAAGTGGGACATTTATTCCTTTTTGATTTTCCTAGAGTTAGAATGCAACCAGCCTATATGAATAACACGCCAGCTGGATTTGTAGGTGTTGCACATGAAACCGGATGGATGACATCTGCAATTTTTTTAAAATACCTGGAACATTTTATCCAATATGCTCGTCCTAGCGAAAACAACAGAGTGCTGCTAATAATGGATAACCATGCAAGCCATGTTACCTTTGAAGCTGTAACATTGTGCAGGGAAAATTATATTTCTCTCTTGGGATTTCCCGCACATACCAGTCACAGAATGCAACCATTGGATGTGTCTCTGTATGGTCCCTTAAAAACAGCATATAGTAGGGCTTGTGATGACTTTTTGACAAACAATCCTGGAAAAGCCATTACACTGACTGACATTGCCTCAATCTTTGGAAAGGCTTATTTAAAAGTAGCAACCGTCGCGAATGCTATAAGCGGGTTTCGGGCAACTGGTGTAGAGCCGTTTGATTCTGACATTTTTACGGACATTGACTTTGAAACTGCACAAACGACAGAAAGGGAACTTGACGCTGAACCAAAGTTAATTGAGGAAAATTATCAAACCGAGAGATTGCCATCGGAAATAAGTCTTTTGAATTCTCCAGTCAGCACTAAACCTGTGCCTTCCACATCTGGTGTTCAGCGAATGCCAGAGTCAGTAACTCCCATCAAAAAGCAGATGGAGGCAGCTTATACTGAAAAATTATTAGAAACTTCTGATAAAGAATGCCAGAGCCAGACAATCGAGTTGGGATTACCTCCGTTGCCTAAGGCAAACACGCAGAACAGACGTTGTAGGAAAAAGCTACCATCACTTATAATATCTAGCACGCCCGTTAAAGATGTTTTAGAACAAAAGCACAATGAAAAACTGGAAAAAGAAAAGAAAAAACAAATGAATGGCCCGTCAAAAAAATCAGCAGCAAATCAGTTCAAGAAAAAAATAGTAAAGCAAATAAACAAAATAAAAGCAGAAGTGTAAAGCGCCAAGTGTTTGAGTCATCTGATTCATCTGAGAGTTCCGTAGATATAGCTGTGGTGGATAGTAATGATGACATGGACGAAGAGGCTGAAGAATATGACAGACTGTGCATATTTTGTGAAGATGAGGGCAAACATAATGAGCTTTGGTTTTGTTGTAATAAATGCACCAAGTGGGCACACGCAGAATGCACTGGACTTAATTTGAAAGAAGCAAAAGCCAAAGTGTGGGTGTGCGATTTTTGTCGTGATGAAAATTAAGTCATACTTTGAAATTTTTTTGTCCGTCCTTGGCTTTTTTTAATACTTTTAAATTTCCTTGCTTTTAATTCTTGTTTATTTTTTAAAAATAAATCATTAAAATGTTTAAGTGTATTGTTTTATTGCCTTTTTACGATATTCGTCAACTTACCCACATACGTTCGTCATCTTGTCAGCAAAAGCGGGTAAGATGACGATAATTACATTTTTGTTCAAAAAAAAAAAAAAAAAAAAAAATTACCTGCCACAATGTGCAAATTTGAATTAAAACTGATCTAAATATTTTTTAATCACTTAAATATTATATGCTCTGCTTTAAAAAACATTTATTGGTAAGAAAATAGAGTTTTAATTGGACCGCAAAACTTAAGTTCGTCATCTTAGGGACCTCTCCCATACATGGCCTTATCACAATTTTTTTATTTTAATTTAGCAAAAAGAAATTGTAAATAATTTTGCCTAAAATTATTCTGGTTTTTAAGTATTTCTGTCAGTTTCTTGTTGTTGAAGTGTACGTGAGTGTAATATACCAGAAATTATGGAATACACTGTACTTGAACTGACAGATACGCATTTTATTTATGGAAGAGCGAACGGAAACGGCCTTTTAGCTAAACGTTTGTATATTCAAAAATATCCAAATCACAGAGCACCCTCTCATAGGATATTTGCCAGAGTCCATCAGCGCCTGAGAGACGAAGGTTCATTTAGTAACAGGCACCATGATCGTGGTCGTAATGTTACAGTGCGTACACCAGCAATTGAAGAGCGAATTTTAAGAAGTGTAGAGGAAGATCCAGGAGAATTGTAAGGAGAATTGCAGCGCAAGAAAACGTGAGTCGCCATACTGTGTGGATGACTATTCATACTCAACTGCTGTATCCATACCACATCCAAAGGGTACAAGCCCTTAATCCTCCAGACTATCCCGCTCGTGCCAATTTCTGTCGTTGGTTATTAAGAAAACTGGTAGAAGATCCCTTTTTTCTGTCAAACATTTTATGCACTGATGAAGCAGAGTTTCCCAAAAATAAGATTGTTAATTACCACAATACCCATTACTGGTCCGATCAAAATCCTCATGCTGTCATAGAAAGTAGACACCAAGTTCGATTCTCAGTAAACGTTTGGCCGGGAATTTTTGGAGATAGACTTATTGGACCATTCTTTCTACCCAATAGGTAAATTTTAAAACTGTTCAAACGTCACCAATTCCTAATTATTATTATTCTTTTAGGCTTAATGTACAAAATTACATTCATTTTTTGGTAAACCATTTACCAATACTTTTGGAGGAAGTTCCAATAGCACAGAAGCAGATTATGTATTTTATGCACGATGGTGCACCACCTCATTTTCCACTAGCCGTGAGAAATCATTTAAATCAAGTTTTCGAGAGGAGTTGGATAGGACGTTGTGGTCCACTAGCTTGGCCAGCCAGATCACCAGATCTTAATCCACTTGATTTCTACTTATGGGGTCACTTAAAAGCTTTGGTTTACTCAGTACCGATTAATACTGAAGAGTAACTACGACAACGGATAATTGACTGCTCCAATCAAATTCGTACAACGCCAAGGATTTTCGATAGGGTACGCAGATCCTGGAGGAGAAGAGCAGGTGTCTGTATTGAAATGAATGGTGGCCACATTGAACATTTACTTTAAATAAAAGAGTCAGACTGATATGATAAAAAAATACGGTACTTTCCATAATAGTAATAAAATATTTTTCACTTTAATTTCTCTCTCTTTTATTATTTAAAATAATTTCGGCGCTTCTCTTTTTTAACAGGGCGATTTGGTAATTCTAAATTGAAATAACCACGCCATAATTTTCATAAATTTATGTTGATTAACCTGTGAGCAATCCATCAAAAAATAAATAAATACTTGTTTTTCAAATACGGGTTCAGTAAAATGTTTGCCTTCAATTTTCTCGAAAACCATTGCTTAAGCGACTTGCAATAAGAGTAACTTTTTTATGGAAAAAAGGTAGTAGTTTTTAAAAAATAGACCCATGTTGTAAAAAAATCAACCCCTAAAAAGTTAATCATAAATCGACCCCTTACCCTTGCAAGAACTACCCTTTCTGATTAAATAAGAAATTTTTCGATAATACCATTGGATTCAGCAGTAAATTTTATGTCAGCAGTGATTTTATCGTGTTTTTTAAGCCTACAATTTCAAAAAAACCACTTTCCAAGTTTGCCCTTTTGACTCCCCCAAATTCCTTAATATGCATTTAACGACCCATAGTTATGGGAACTTTTTTTTACTAGTTTTAGGAGTACTATCACCTCCCGAATTTTTTTACACTATTTCAATGACCCCCTGTATATCTTAAGTGTCTTTCAAAGTAGCCTTTTCCGTAGACTATGAAACGAGCCGCCACTGTACTATTATTTACCTGAAAGTTTCATCGTCTGGTGTAGCCGTATATTCTCCCCTTTGTCTACCAGACTTACTGTCGTCGTAAGGATAATTGGCAACTAGATCTCCTCCATGTAAGTTGGCTGAAAGGACGAATGGAACTTGCATGATAAGCCGGATAACGGCTTTTGTTTCCGGTTGAAGCTGAAAACCAAGTTGGATGATTAATTATTTCAGAAAGGTTAATTAAATGAAAATAAGCGTTTTCCGTATAAAATTATTAAAATTTATTTTAAATTATTACCTCTTAAATTTCAGTTATTTTTGAGAAACTACTAACGAATATGTTTAACACGTTGGCTGCCACCTACGAGTTTGCTCGTAGCTTGTTAGCTAGGACGCCGACTATTACTTATCTCGTAGTTTGTTTACTTGCCATGTATACATACAACTTATATTACATTTTTGTAGTTGTAGTATAACAGTAATTATTATATATTCATTATGATTATTCATATTTACAAGCTTCTGGGAAGAGGTCAAAACATTAAGGATGGTTTACATGCACAGACGACTTAATAAATTAATAAATGAACAGAAAATATAATAAAAAAATAATAAATTTATTCAAAATCATGGTCTACAATATTTATATGTAAAAATAAAATATTAATACTCTTTCTACTCTACATGCTATACCTATGCTGTCAAAAATAGTTAATACTAGAATAGTAAACCTTGTATGGGTGTATATGTTAATTGCCGGGCAATTTATAAAGTGCCCAATACAGTCGGTCCATTTAATAATTTTGTATTTGTCTATAGTAATTTATTACATTGCCCGGTCATTATAAATACTGCTATTATTTTCTGGGCATTTTGATTAATTTTAAGCAATTTGGCAACGTGCGTATAGTGGGATTCTCACTGACCAATTAGCATCCATTTTTGATGGCTTGTCGCTTGTCCATCTTGCGCGTTAATGAGTTCTCGTTCTCGATTGTTTTCAGTTCTTTGCTTAGCTGTTAATAATTGTGCCACGAATATTTAATGAACTTTGCCTTAAAGTGACTTTATCGTTTTGTTTTAAATGTTAGTGATTTTTCTACAAAATAAAATGCAGAAACAGTTATTATTAACTGACGTAAGTGAGATGAAAAATCGTTTCGACGAACGGCTGAATGAATTGTGTTCATCAAAAGGTCAGAATACACAAATTATCACAAAACCCTAATACTTGGAATTAATAGAAAAGGTTAAAATATCTAAAAGCAAAGTGGTAAATAAAAAACCCGAGGATTATCAGCGTTTACGCAGGTTTGACATAATGACTATTGGAGAGAAGGAAAAGCTGATAGTTCCTGTAGAGGATGGTAAAAAGCAGATTAGGTTTTACGTACATCGGGAAGAGATATTTCAACATTTACATGATGCACATATTTCTATTGGACACGGTGGTCGAAACCGCATGGAAAAAGAGATCAATTTAAAGTATGAAAACATCACAAGGGAAATGATTGTAATCTATCTAAATTTATGTATGACCTGCGAAAAAAACACAGTGTGTACCAAGAAAAGGTTTAGTTGATAGGCCGATACTAAGTAAAAACATGAACTCAAGATGTCAAGTCGATTTAATCGACATGCAGTCGCAAGCTGATGATCAATATAAATTCATACTTGTATACCAAGATCATTTAACTAAATTTGTTCAACTTCGACCTCTTAAAAGCAAAAGAGCAGAAGAAGTAGCTTATGTGCTTTTGGATATTTTCACCATTTTTGGTGCGCCCACTATTTTGCAGAGTGACAATGGCAGAGAATTTGCCAATAGTACTATTAACGAACTATGTACCATGTGGCCAGAATTAAAGATGGTACATAGAAAGCCCAGAAGCCGTCGGACATGCGAATCAGAACGTGGAAAATATGCTTTGTTCGTGGCTAGAAGACAATAACATCAAGAAATGGTCAGAAGGATTACGTTTTGTTCAACTTATGAAAAACAGAGCTCATCATAGTGGCATAAACTATACTCCGTATGAGACCATGTTTGGAACAAAGTTAAAAGTTGGTCTAAAAAGTTTTTTGCCTGAGGACGTTCTGCCTAATATAAATTCTGAAGAGGATTTGAAAGTAATAGTAAAAGATCAAAACAATTTAGAGTCTGCAGAATAAGGTGTACTGCAAAATAAACCAGGGTCAAATTCTTTAGCGGAAGTAGGTCCAAGTCAACAATACGAGGGGGAAATATCTTCTCTTGATAGTTATGTTCAACCATCAACTTCGTTATCTGAACCAAGCTCTGATTTCAGTAATAACAAAAGAGAAATAAATGTCTTAGGGGCCTCTGAAATTCAAGTTCCCGGTTATGAGAAACGCGCGTATGAAGGTTATGGAGATTTCTCAAAGGGATCTAATTTATCTGGAATTTATAAATTAACTTGTAAATCTTGCCATTCTTTCTATGTGGGACAAACATTTCGAAATTTCAAGATCCGTTTAAAAGAACATTTGCGTTGTCTTAACCAAAATACAACAGGTTTTTCACATTTTGCCAACCACCTACTGGACTCAAATCACGACTTCGATTCAACTGAAGGTTTCGAAATCCTACATAGTTCCTACCATAGATTTACTCTTAATAGCTTCGAAAGCCTCGAGATATTGAGAAATTTAAAATTAAATCCTGTTGCTTGCTTAAATGCCCAGATAATGTCAGAAACTCCTCCTGTTTTCTGAACACTAATCTAAATTTATCGTTCTAACTTCCTTTTTAACCTCCCCCTTTATTTCTATTCACATATTTTCTTGCAAGGGGTACATTTCAGTAAGTAATTTTTTTCCCACAAGAAACCAACGAGCATGTTTAAAGATTAGGTTAGATTGTGTGATATTCACATCCGTCATTTTCTTCTTTTCTTCTTTTATTCTTCAGTTGCTTCACAACAGTTAACCCAGTCATTTCTTCTTCTTTTTTCTTCCTACAACATCACATACACTTGATGATTGGTTCATGGCCCAAATCTTATATAATAAATAATAAATATTTCTTCACTCATGGTTTACATCTTATTACCTATACCCTGTCATGGGTTTACCCAAGAATTTTTTTGTTAATACTTGCCACCACCTGTAGAGGCCTTAACTTGACAGGTCTCCTTTCAAAAATGTTAGTTTTTTGAAAAAACAACAAGGTTGTTTAAAATAAGCCTTATCTTTTAATCTGTTTAATGTATGTGATTTGTTTTGTATGGTCTTGAATATTTTAAATTTTTACTATTTCAATTGACTAATATTTGTTTTTTTAAATATTTTTAACTTTTTATTACTTGTAAACTTTGTTCATTTTACAATTTATTTCACCCCACATTTGATGAAACTTGTTTTGTAGTATTCCCTAGTGGATGGAGAGTATGGTGAGTTTTCTCTTTTTTACTATTTTATATATCGTTTGCTCCAAGTTAACACACCTTACACCACATATTCTCCTTTCCACTAGGCGAGCCTGAAGATGAAGTGATGACACTTCGAAACCGGTCGCACTCAATGTTTTGTTAAATAATTGAACATTGACTTTCCTTGTGAGATATAAAGGACTTTTTCTCCCCATTCACCTTAAAATTACCTCAACTCACACATGGCTACCCCCCTTGTCAACATTTTTTATTATTTTGTTCTATAGATGATGTGTCGGGTGAAGGCTTGACAAAATTTCTTCTGTCGGCGTTAGAGAAAGAAGGCTTAATATCAACGATTTGCGGGGTCAGGGTTATGACAATGGGTCAAATGTACGTGGTAAACATAAGGGTCTACAAAAAAAATTGTATTTGAATCCGCGAGCTTTGTTTGTTCCTTGTTGCAATCATAGCTTAACTTTAGTCGTCAATGATGCCGCAAAATCGAATATTTTGAGCATCATTTTTTTTTTCTTTAGTTCAAAAACTGTTTGTATTTTTTTCAGCTTCTACTAAATGCTGGACAATTCTGAAATCAAATTTATCTAAAGTAACAAATTTAACTTTAAAACCTTTATCGGATACTCGATGGTCTAGTAGAATAGATGCAATGACTCCTTTAAGGTATGAACTTGGGGAGGTTTATGATCTGCTTGAAATAAGCGTAGGAAACTTTGAAAATAACGTAAACAATTTGGCTGCATTGTTGGCCAAAAGTTGTAAAATTTTTAGTTCATTTGCATTCTTATATTGTGGTAAAATATTTTAAGTAAAGTTAACATTGTTAGCAAAATTATTTAAAAACTGAACTTTAATGTTGCTTAGTGTTCTAATCACTTAAATAATTTGAATAATTTTTTGAAAGCTTACCGCTCCGATAAAGGTTTTAATTATATTTTAAAAGATGCTAAAGAAATAGCATCCAGCTTAGACATAGACCTTAAATTCAAAAAACCGCGAAAAATAAAAAAAATATTTTGATAATGAATTTGACGATGAACCAATCCACGTCGAAACTTTCAAAACTTTCAAACTTTCAAAGTTCAAAGATGATTGTTTTTTTTTAATGCTCTAAATGTAATCATAACATCAGTGGATGAGAGATTCCAATTACATCTTTCTTGCTCTAAAAATTTCGCGTTTTTATGGAATATTGATAAATTTAAAAATTATTCTGAAAACGAACAATTAGAATTATGTCAAAAAGTTGAAAATTTATTAAATGACAAAACTCGCAATGAACGAGACATAATACTTGATGAATTACAGCACTCGCCTGCGGCTCGTGCTGCAAACTTCATCTGCGTGAGTTATGACCTGCATTACCGCTCGTTAAATAATATACTATTAAATATTTTATTTCTTGTGCTTTTGTATCATATTACATTTAAAACTAAAATACAAAAATGTTGTGTTGTTAGAATATATTTCTGTTTTCTATAAGCTTATAATTATGTTATGTACCTCAATGAGAAAATACTTGTATGGCTTGTGCTTGTAAAATATAATAATGATAATAAAATGAAAATACTTTTTAAAATTATTTTTCAATTAGACATTCCAAACAAATGAATTGCCAGTGGGAAGGTTTGGTATATCTAACGGTTGCGACATACGATGTATTCTATCTACAATACGTAAAATTATGAATAATGGCTTACATTTAAATATTTTATGTAAAACACAATAAAAATATTATTTAAGAAAACCACTTTGGTCATTTTTTTAAAAATTAGCGTCCAGGAT